TGATCATCATATAATCTATTATTTTGATAATTATCATTATTATCGTCACATATGTCTCTCTGTATATAATAAGTTAAGGCGCGTGCTGTTTAGCCAAGAGAGAAAAGAGGAATAGTTTATTAGTTTATAGGAATGTACTCTAATGTCGTTGTTGCTGTTGTAGTCGACGTTAACGATGGTTCTAGGCGCGGCGTTGGTGTTATTCCTGACGTATTTCTCTTAAAATCGTTGTTCGGATTTGTATCACACGAAGAAAAATATCGTTTTACATATTAATTAGATTAATAAACGTTTTAGGGACTTAAAAGTCACGTTGTCGACAAGAAATGTCATTCAAACCGAAATGAAATGTCACGCCAAACCACATCTTGAAAGTCACACAATCACGAGAGCACTGTGTGGAACACGCCTGTCTGTCAGCCATGGAAGATTTCAAAATGGTATTTAACATATTTCAAGGTGTATGCGAATGTTAAACTATAGCTACGGGCGCTGTATGCCGTACACATGTTCTGTTGTCTGGTGGGCCTCTATCACTCAATCATTCGACTGGAGACGAATATACGCAGATTCTAGTGGTATATCAGCCGATATATTCATACACAGACGTGTGTTGAATATGCCTTTCTATATTCCCGACATGATATGATATTCACTCGAGCGAGACAAAAACCCAAGGCATTCACGCTATTTTACAAGCTCGTCTGTATTTGGACTCCGCATTATGCAACACAAAAGGTCACGCAATCTAACTTGTCGAATAAAATTCCCGGTCTTTTCTATAAAGGGCGTCACACAAAGCTCGCTGATCGAACCGCATAGTAGGGTTGTACTTCCATAGGGCGAATAATTCCCGAATAATTACTCCGAGAGCGCGAAGCACTATCTCCGTTTGTGAAGGGCGTTATGAAAGCGAGAGACTAATTTTATTATTGGTAGAGAAGACCGTCACCAAAACATGTTTGTTGACGTATATTCCTTGCTGTCAAATACTTATCTACCACTCCAGATGGCATTAAGGGCGCTTCCAAACCTACAAGAGCTAATTCAGAAAATAATTCCGCTCCGCATGAGTGCGCGTGAAATTCAAGTATGATATGTCGACGGTAGGTAGCACAATGGATGGACGAGGCAGTCAGTTACACGTTCTCAAGGAGGAGATATAGGTACGTATGTTATATAGACTGTCCCCGGTCCTATAACGGCGCGAGACTGGGACGCGCACTGCCTGGCGCGGTGCTACACGTGTTTATGCAATATGGTTTCACCGTCGTTAGTTTCTGTCAGTGCAGAAGAACTTAAGAATAAATCTAGTCAAAATACACCTACATTTGTAACATCAAGGCTGGAGTCTTAGAATTCACAACAATTTGCTTTTCGCGTGGTAAGTCATGCGTGACAGAATAACAACCGCAGCGAGTTTCAGCGGCTCTTTGGCAATTTATGTAGCTGATAAAGTCCGGGTTAGTGCAGTGAGGACCGAGAAAAAAAGCAGACCTCGATAATCCGGACAGGTTAATAAAAATAGGCTGGATGAAAAAGGTTTCGGGCATTTAATTTAGCATATGGTGTGTAGAACATAATGAATTTGTTCAATTCATTATCAGAGACATGTCCGTTATAGCGAGGTCTGGGTTTAAGAGGTTCTACTGTCCAGCCTCCGGATGTAACAAACTCCATTGGACCTTCAGACCAGATCGTTCTTTTTTGTTGAAGTAATAATCAATACACTCTATAGCATAAATAATTAATGCTAGGAGATTGAAAGTTCGTCATAAGCGATATTTCGCAACGTCCGACTTGGGGTATGTTTAGACCTTTCGCTCGTCGTGATGACTAGAAACACAATGTTCAGTGAAGTATCGAGTTCACTGGTCAAAATACCCCCCAATGGCGACGTTTTCGCGAGTCACACGCGACTCGTTGGCCGGCTGGGGCACGGGTGGCCCACTCGTCTAAGGCGCCGCGATTCGCTGTGCCAGAAATCTGTGATTGTGGGTTCGAATCCCAGTTCGCCCCGATTAAGTTTCTAGGTTTGTCAGCACCATACCCGTGCTCGTGGGTTTCACCGAAGTGGTAAACGTCTGAGATCTGCATCACTTCGGGCTTTCCTCCCACATTAAGCTGACACGCCGTGATATAACTGGAATACTGTTAAAAGTGGCGTTAAACCCAACTCACTCACTCACTCCTTTGCCCGGCAGTTTACTTGAAGATTATTACATGTTTCTGTTCCAAACTACCATTTTCCAGGACGCGAACTTTTCGAGCCTCGGCTACAATCAAGGAAACTTATAGTTTACACAGTAGTGTATATAGCCCTCCCTTGTACCTAAAAATGGCAAAAGCTTGTTTACACACTAGGTCCTGCATAAACAAGTACTTGTGCGCTATAAATGTCACATATGAAATTACAATTATTTTTATTTTTCCAAAGGCCGGTACGCTATAAAACGTTATTTTTTGCTATGGCGGGTTTTCGACGCCAGCCGATGAAATAAGATCTACGTGGACTCGACCGTGAAAACAGTCAATGGCCGGGAGAACGTGGTTATGAATAATTACACTATCTTTGGCCTTATTTTCACTGAATTATAAAGATAATGCAAGTTCATGTGAGCATATCGGAGAATTTGAAATAAAACGAGATATTTTGCAGTGAAATACCATGTTTTGTACTCACGGTGGAGATCCAATCTGTCACTCCACACTCCACTCCAGGGTGTTTAACCGCCATCTACCCGATACAAAGTAGCACAGTGTCACGTTACACGTAACCACCCTGACCGCATTGTTACAGAGAGTGTAGTTAAACACTTACATCCAAAACACGTCAACTTCTCGTACCGAGCACGAGAATTAGAGCCACATTAGCACTCGGTTGTCTCCCTTTATCTGCAGAACTGTATCTTCACAACCATGTCGAAAGAACACATTCAGAAGGGGTTAAAATTTTACGTGATAGAATATGATTGTTTACTTAACACCTCCGTTTATGAAACAGATCTAGAGACACATATATCACTTGTATGCACCCTTCATCAAAGCTGCTTAATCTGAGACAAGTCCGAAAGTGCCTTTTTCATTCATTCGGCACAAATCGTTCCTTTCCGTAACTTGTCAATCGGATGTCCTCTTGGTCGCGATTCATTTTGAGGTGTGGGTTAAGGGCGCTCTGTGGCAACAGCAGGCCTATATAGGCTCACATGCATGTTCTTTGTCCGAGATACGCGTGCATTTCATGGGTTTCCATTGTTTTATGTAGATGTCCTCGTTGCGGGATGTAAGCATAGCTAGAAAAAACATATCGAGGTTTGAAAATGCCTGCATTCATCATACATAACTGTAAAATAATTCAGATTGTACGGATAGCCAATTCGTGAAAGGTGCCACAATTTGCTGTTCAGAGTTGCCTCCCTTGTGTGTGTCAGAATCCTACATTCGCTCAGATGATGTTTCCAGGTTTGTCAGCACCACACCCGTGCTCGTGGGTTTCACCGAAGTGTCAAACGTCTAAGACCTGCATCACTTCGGGCTTTTCTCTCACATTAAGCTGACACGCCGTGATATAACTGGAATACTGTTAAAAGCGGCGTTAAAACCAAAACCAAAATCACTCACTGATACATGTAGCAGGTTTAAAGAGTAATCTCCCCTTGGAAGCTAATGTCCGACATTACCCGTCCTTATGATTGGTAGGGGGCGGTCGGGTGGCCTAGTAGTTAAAGCGTTCGCTCGTCACGCCGAATTCGAAGACCCGCGTTCGATTCCCGACATGGGTACAATGTGTGAAGCCCATTTCTGTTGTCCCCCGCCGTGATATTGCTGGAATATTGCTAAAAGCGGCGTAAAACCATACTCACTCACTCATAATGATTGGCGGCCAGTTTCTGTGACGTTATTAAGAAAATTATAACACTAAATAACAAGGCGTTTCAACTTTACACTGAGTGGAAAAAAACGTCTCAAATACATTTGTACAATAAACACGCTCTTGGCCCCGGAATTCTATCACGATTGTTCCCCAACTGTCGCGGCACGTATACATAATTAATAACGTATTTACATGAAAACTTGCACCGTCAACTCCATGTACGACAGGGTGTGAAGATTATGGATATCATGTCCGCGTGTGTAACATTAGGAGGCCAATATGTCCGTCCCTCTTTGATATCGTCTAGATTTACAATACAAGCGATACCTAGAATACATTACGAAATGCTTAACAAGTTATGTTATTTCAAATGATTGTTTAACATTCCGGATAGAGGGATGCTTGTGACTTCACATGATTTAATAATTTTGGCGAGTAAATATCGTAACATAAAGCTTAAACGTGTATGAACCATTGTCAGAAGTAAGGGTGGATAATATATCCGAAATACGACCCAAAGTCGCATCATGTATTAATATCTGAAATGAATATAAATTATTTCCGATTCTGAAACAAAATATCCACAACGGGTCTTCCACATTGATAAACAACAAAACACAAAATTCCGTAGCGTTTCCACTCAACAAACAATGTATTTCAGCAGTTTCGTCGTTGGGAAGATATGATAAATCATACACAATAGCATGCAGGTTTAAAACCCGTTGAATCTCGTCGTGTGGAAAACAGGTGTTAAATTCAAAGTATTTGAAACATGCGAATATCGGTTGATCTTAAGGTAACATATATGTTCCACGGTAGGGAAGGTTCAACCCTTACTCCAGTCGTTGCATGAAGCGTAAGCTCTCAACCACTGAGGTCGTCCCTTTCCCGACAGCAGGCTATACAAAGCCTCTCTCGTAGCTTAACATGCACAGACGCACCGTGCCGTGAAAACATGCGGGCTGCTTGCTCAAGCTCGGCTCAGGAAGAGGACGAAACTAACCTTAACTCTCTCTCAAGTACTGCCAAAGTGTGCTTAATTGCTAATTGTGTTTTTGACAGGTAGCCAAGGATTTATTTATACTATTTGTGTCTGGTTTGTGAATATCTTCAATTTGACTTACAGATACATGTTTGGATACACGGGCTACAGTAGCTGGAGTGTTTGGGTGTTGGAGAGATAGTGAAGATATTGGAAGTGATTAACACCCATTTACCTGGATTTGTATATACCTGTAATTGGATACCTCAGCTAATCGCAGCATCATGAACAACACCAACGTTACCGTGTTCTGTTTATTGACAATATTCTGTGGGATTGCACAAGCAAGTGGTGAGTACCTTCTGATTTTATATTTCGCTTCTTTTCAGGATTAAAATCTTTTCTATTTTAACTATCAATGTTTTATATGTTTACTAACAAAAAAGATTCGTTTTTGTTGGGAAAGAGATATTTGGATGTTTTCGTGAGTTGAAAAAAGTGTTTAAATGAGTATGCGTTTTGTATGTTGTTCAGGATACGTTAAAACGATGCGCGAATGTAGCCACGCGATTATAAAAACGTGTACAGCGATGTATGAACGTGTATCGTTATTTGTGAGTGCAAGTCAAAGTGCAGTTGTATGCGGTTAGAATCACATTCCCGGAATTACGGAATGAGACACACTTTGTCCTCCTGGTAACGCTCTTGTTTACGTAACCTACTCTTTGTTTATGATTATAATGATAAATTTTAAACGAATTGTTTCAATGCTGGGTTATTATTCTATCACATTACACATCACAAATCTAGTCACAGATGGATGTTAATTGTTATTATGCTGAACACGTCGTAGTCAGCTCGCGTTGGAATTTGTGTTGTGATCGCGTCGTCATGTGGTGTACGTTTGCGGTGATACCTGCACACGGTGAATATGAGCCAGTTGTAGAACAGGTGATTCGGCAGTTGTTATCTTTTACTCGGGGTTATAATCGCTACATTAGGAGCGGAGGAACGGGAATAGTATTGAGTACTTCGTGAACGCTGAAGGCGTTTAAAAACGCCATCACGATCACGTGTGCCTGTTTAATGGTCGCACATCGCGAGCGCGTTATGCGGTTTTGAAGTGTTCGGGGAAATTGTGGTTGCATGGGGGTCTCACACCGGGAATTTGTGAACAACATTAACAAATCTATTGTGATTGAGAATCAGATTTTGAGAAAGCATTTCACACAAAATTAAAGCTATTTTATTTTAAACCGAAACAACAGAACTCCCCGATTTATCGTTCTATAACACAGACTGACTGACTAAAATGTTTATTTACGGTTTTTTTAACAAATCTGTTAAAACATATTCCATTATTTAGCACTCAGATATAAGGAGATTGAAAATAACAATTCAGCGGAATTTTAGAATGGTGTCACTTGTGTTTCGTTTACAATTCCTTCTTGTATATTTACCTAGACTAAACGGCCTATAGTAGCATATACATTTTATCTCGTAAAGAGCAGTCGTAATTTTAGCCAATGTTAGTATTGTGCCATCTATTATCCTTCTTCCCGGATAGCGATGGGTACTGGTTCATTCGCAGTACCCTCCTATACCCTAGTTTCTCTATCGGTCACGATCCACCCTAACCGTCGTTAAAGGCACCCAACAGCTGCTCGCTTTTGTGACTACCCTCAACGTTGCGTTTTGTATGGAAGCTTAGATTCGACATATTCTCCTCGCGTCTTTTATATCCCGTTTTCTCCTAGTCTTTTCTGTGGAGATTAGTTTGCGAGTTGGATGTGTGTATGTGTGAGTGTGTGTGTGTGTGGTGTGGAGGTCGGTTGGCTCAGGAATAGACATGGCTGAGACTACTCGCGGGTGCTTCAACCACTAAGTTATTGACACAGCCGACTGAGAGCTTGTTAAGATGAGAGAAGAAAATTTGGGAACGCTGGGGTCTTGTTAAGGGCTAAGGGGGAGATGAAGACATGATGGTTTGCTAAGGGGCTGGGGTTAATAAGGGTTGTTTTTACGGGGATAGAGGTGGAATTTGGATTAAGATAATGTACTTTCCCGCACCTGACACTCATTTTTCCTGTTCTCGCCGTCGAGTTTGTTTGGTTTCGCATATTTTAATGGAACGGGTTAAATCTAGGCGTTGGGATGCGCGATGAAAGTGAATAGCGTTTAATGTTTATTTTTTCGCCATCGACTAGAAAACAAACATATTTGCTGCGATAGTACAAATCTATTTTGAATTCCTAATGAGACAAACAATCCGCATTTGTTTTATTAACGTGTGTTGAGGCTAGACACTTAAGGAAGTCTCCTCTTTGTTGGCATTGGAACATGGGGGTTGGGGAGGGGGGTAGTTTATTATTTTATTTTGCTTAGTATTCATACTTTATGGTATCACACCTCTCGTGTGAGTCATCTGGGATACGACCGCTTGCATGTTTACAACTTTATCGCTTCAAGAGAGAATATATTGTTATTTGAAATCGGGTTGGTTTGTCAAGCACAGGAAACGACTGTGGTACACTGCAGGGGCCTCCACTATGCCCTCAGTCGTTTCACAGTCTGGTTAGGGATTAGTGTCGAATATGCATGTCCATTCACATCACTCCCAATATCTGGATACTATGTTCATCTCGAAGTTACCCTGCGACCTAGACATTACTCCGCTCTTTTTACATATCACTTCCTTGCTATATCCCGAAGCTTGCATAACTCGAAATATCGCATTTCATTTCCCGCTCCTCCTTAAAATGACGACATTGGACAGTACTTGTATTTGAATAGTGAATTGTAGTTTAATAGAGTTTTCTGTCTTACATATCTCGACGTGATCCTGTAGTCCACATTATACATTTCTCGATTAATCCCGAAACCTTGGATAACTCGAAGTCTGTCTAACCTTTATCTCATCTCTCCCCTCTCTTTATCTCGAATAATGACACATCCCGAAGAGATCTTGTTGTCTATATATTATACTTTTCTCGATTAATCTCGAAAATCTGGATAACACGAAATATGTCTGATCTACTCGCTCCTTTCTTTATCTCGAATCATTTTATTCCATCTTTCGAAGTGATCCTGTTGACTATATAATACCTTTCTCGATTAATCCCGAAACCCTGGATGACTCGAAATATGTCTAACCCACATCTCATCTTTAACGTCTTTCTCCTTTCTTTATCTCGAATTACATATCCCGAAGCGATCCTGTATAATATAATACCTTTCTCGATTAATCCCGAAAGACGAAACTCTGGATAACTCGAAATGTCATTGGCCTAGGATGATAGTGAACAATACTTGTATTTAAATATGGAATTGTAGTTAAAAGATTAGAAATTCAAACTTTGTCTTCATTTAGCCGCCCGCAGAGCCGCAACCTCTCACTGAAGTTAACAGGGGAGTTTTTCCAGATTCGATTTATAAATGCACGTTTTCAGCAAACTGCGCGCTTTTCATATACTAATGAGATAAAGAAGAACGTTTTAGCGTCCACCGACAGGGCTGAACCATAGAAAAGAAACGTTTTCAAAGTTTGTCGTGTGAATAGCATGGAAAGAAAGGAAGGCTGTGGAAGCTCTTCAACCATAGCTGATTAGCTTCGCACCTGGCACAATCTGGAAAACATAGAATACCTGGTTTCTCTTTTACCCACAATGCCTCGAACGTGACATGCGCAGTGAGATGAGAAGGATAAAACGAGCAGTTGCGATAAAAGTCGAAAAAACGCTGTCGTGAAGTTGATGTAGATAGTTTATGAACTGGAGTGTTTGATAGACTATAGATAGACTATATATAAGTGATGGTTCTTGAGACCTGTTTTTATTAGTTGGGTTGATATGCTTTAGGTGTTTTATGAGTTTGGGCGTTTTGATGGCAGTTGATTTGAAAGCACAAATGCTCGATCTAACATTGCAGTATTTATTAAGTTGGAAAACAGTTATTTATTCAAGTTTTTTAGAATAACCGATGCAGGTTTACCGACGTTATACCATAGTGTTCAGGTATTGGTACACGGTACAAGGTGTACATTTTGCGAAGAATGTAGAAATATGGTAAATGACGGCATGGACACGTTGGTAAAGCCGATGACGTTAACGCCGTGTTCATCAACGCTTCTACATACTTGACCCAAGAACCCCTGTTCATTGTAACTGTTGGTAATGATTCCATTAACAATTAGTTAACCTTCATTACTAACTGTTCGTTGTAACCGACTTCGACATATGCAGGTATTCGGGATGTACTAAGAAACCGTCAGATCGATGATTAATCAGTATCGATCTGTGTTGTTGGCGTACGATATTGCAGCAATTTTTAGTTGGTGAGGTCGATTCCCATTTGTGTTGGTGTCGTACTGAGACTACAGTGTGATGTTATCATCTCACTTCCTTACCCACAATTCTCCACGTCTTTACCCACAATTCCAACGTTCATGCCCACAATTCCTCGCCCCCCTACCAACCAAATTACCAAATTCCTCGCGCTTTCAAGGTCTAAAAATATATTTATCACATAAATAATTCTTTAAGTCCGCAAGTTTCGGTTTGCTTCACCTGCAACAACACTCCTTGATATATAAATTCTCCATCTATCTTTCTATAAGCTGTATTCTTACATATTCAAGATATTTGGAGCACGTCACCTCATATTAAAAGGGAAATTGAGGTTAAACTACCTGAACCATGTTGTATAACGCTAGCCCGCCAAAAGGGGGGAATGGGCGTTTCGTGGGTTGGTGAACACAACTCTCCGACAGAGATAAACATCCTTTCTTCTGTATAGATGGCTGTCCTCTGTACCCCAGACCATCCTTGCTGGTCTGTGGAGCACGATGAAGATGGGAACATAAAGCCTGGCTGTTTTTCCTTTCTTGTAAATGTATAAAATATATTGATGGCTATGCCCTCAGTGCCTCATCTGTGACCCCGGAGAACTACAATGTAGGTTGATTCTTAGAGACCTAACGGTTGTTTAGGACATCTTGAGTCGAAAATCTTGATGTCTCAAGCGCATTTGTATTCCATTCATATTCCGTCAACCTTCTCTCCTCACAAAAAACAAGACAAAGCCAGTATGATTGATTTCTCGAGCTTGGAACTCTTTCATGTCTGATCTGGACATTTAATGACTGGTTCATCTTCTGTTTATGCTTTCTGCACGTGAGATGGGTGATGGCAGAACGGGCACCTGCTCTGTGGTGACTCGAGACAGCGCGTGTGTTGGGGGTGACTATGGTAATGAAGTACTGCACAGGCTGTGTGGAGTCTTTGATGTTGATTTCAGGCCCTTGTTCTAGTTCAAGGCCTCTTATGATAATGTCTTCGGTAGTTTTATATTCC